CCCTGCTTTGGAGCATTCCAAGCTATGCACACGTATTTTCATAGTAACCTTTACAACATCCTTGTGAAGCAAGCCAGTACTATTATCTTTCTGTTTTAAAGGGAAGAGCTGGACCCAACTGGGATGCTGGAAGCCACCATGTCAGGATAGACTATTTGTTTGCCTAGCTCTGCTCACTTTGACTGGCAGCGGCTGCCCAGAGTCTAAAAGAGGGAGGAATCTTTCCCATCACCCAACACCTGGTTGTTCTCCTTGGCAATGCCAGGGATTGAACCTGGGACCTTCTGCACGTGAAGCGGATGCTCAAACACTAATCTAGGCTTCTCCCGCCAATGATTTACCCAAGGTGGTGGCTCGGAAGGAAAACAGGCAAGATTTGAACCAGGAAGTCATAGTGGAGTCTTAGCTACTAGACTGACAAGCAAGGTCCCTATTGTGGATCACAGCCCCAAGGTTGTTATTTTTTTCCATTTCTTGCCCACAGAACACGTGCCCTGGCCCTTAAACATTGCCACTGAAGTAGGATGACACTACTTAACAATAACCTCCTTAAGCTGGATTCATTTCACTTCAATTCTACTAGCTCTACAGAATAAATAGCCGAATTCTCCGTCATTTGTCTGATTTTGTTTATTTTAAGCAAAGCCAGTCCTACCATGAGGCAGGTAGGGCTCTTATCTCTGGTGGCAGATGCCGAGCGATAGAGAGTAGAAAGAGCTGCGTGCAGCGTCCCATAACCCATTCATTATGTGTGATCCCTAAGCTTTCAAGTTGGCCTGGGTATAGTGAAGGATGGTGTCCTGCTAAGAGTTCCAAACTAAGACTCAACACCCCATTCGGTTAACTTCTGCTCATATAACCAACAGGGAGTGCATGGGAGAGAAATGGGCCACCTTCTCTTTTGCTTCAGGCAGCAAGATTTGGGGATCAGCCCCAGAAAATAAGGCATTGACGTAAACCACCAAGACTCTACTCACTGCTTAATGCCTATGAGGGAAAATCAAATACAAGATGGACTGACTCCCCAAAGGAAGAACGTTTTAGAGAGCACTCCTTCCTGGGGTCACCATAAGTCAGGGGTGACTTGATGGCACAAGACAACAAACTAAATGCCTCATTAAGTTCTTCTCATCTCTCTGATGTCCTAATAATCAGCACCGGCCCCCAATTCTCTGGGTACCCCGTTATTTGTGTCCTTTTATTAACCCCTCCAGCTGCAGCCCACAGGTGATGAGGACAGCTGCTGTTCCAGTCATCCAGTTCCAGGCGACTTCCTTAGGGGGGTTGTCATCTCTTCCCTCCCTCCCTTCCCATTTTCCTCCCTCTCTGGCTGGACAGGAGAGCCTGCCTGTCGCCAGAAATCCGGCTGAGGTGGGCAGCCAGCCAAATGTGGGGCTTCCGTTTTTTCTTCCTGGCTATGTTTGGCTGCTCCTGTTCCCGAAGGGCCATCGCCCTTCCTTAGACCAAAGAGAACAGCCGGGAGTTTCCCTGGGGAGCCTCCTTCCTCTGGAATGTCTTCTGCAGAGGATTCTGCTGGTGCTGGTCAAGTAGACCGTAGGCAAGGAGGAAAGGGAACAGATCCATGAGACTATCAGCCTTTTTATATTCATTGCCCCCTGTATTTGTCTGCGTTGCAGTTTGTTTAAAGCTTTGTATTTTATTTATTTATTTATTTATTTGATTTGATTTGATTTGTATCCCGCCCATCTGGGCTATATGACCATTCTAGGCAGCTAGTTTTTTTAATTTAAGTTAGTTTAATTTGGAGCACTTTGTTATATCAGCTCTATGCTTTATTGTATTGTGAACTGCCCAGAGTGACCACTAGTTAGATGGGCAGTATAAAAATGGAATAAATAAAATAAATAATCCATTCACTGTGGGGCTTAGGACCCCCTTTTTTAAAACCAGTTTTAAAGGACGCACAATTCTCTGTGTGCAAGCACTGTTTAAAAATCTCATCATCAAGAATGAAGAAAGCAGGAAAGCAGCCGGATCCCCATCATGCAATGATATAAAATGACTACTATATGATCCTGCCATTTGTCCAAGTTGCCATGACTTTGAGAAATGCAGCAGGCATAACACTGGACATGGGGATTGCATCAACCCTTTTGAAGCCTTGTGCAAGGAAGCTTGTAAAGGCTGGCTTCAAACACATCAAATGACATATTTCTGTGGTTGGAAAAGAAATGGAAGCCTCAAAAACATTGAATGCAGAGTAGGAACCAAGCTCCATAGAATACCATTAGGCCTCCATCTTCAGCAGTCGGACATGCAGGATTGTACCCAGCCTGTGCCTTTAAAATAACTTACGAGCTATCTGGACAGGGGGGGGGGAGCTGTGACAATATTCCCTTTCCAACATAACTCTCCCAAAGCAGAAAAGGGTCGTCTTGTCTTTCTTTACATTAGGTCAAATGAAGACAAGTTGGGGAAATTCCTAAGAAGATTGCCTTCTTGGTAGTCACATGCCAGTTATGACAGCAAAGGCAAGGGTCTCCTTGACTCACACATCTAGCTAGCATGGCTAATGGTAAAGGAGACTGGGACCCGTGGTCCCCAACATCTGGAGGGCCAAAGTTTAGCTTAATTTGATCCATGTCTCACTGCTTTTGTACTATTGGGAAGAAGAACAAAAAATAAGAGGGAGAGAGAGAGAACATCTCTGAGCTTTCACAGAGTGCTTCTGTTTCACTCTATTTTGTCCCCGGGGACTATAAAAGAAGGCTGTTATTTCTGAAAAACCATAGCTTCCAGGCAAGCGTGGGTGCTGCTCACTCAGCCCCATTTAGAAGCAAAGTCACGGCTGTATTTATTTTTCCACTTGCCGCACCCGCCCTTCCTCCAAGGAGTTCCGAGTGCCAATTTCAGCCTCAGGACAATGCCGGGAGGGAGTTTACCGGTCTCTCTTTCTAGTGCTACTCTAGGATCAGCCACGCTCGACCCAGGGCCATCCAGAACCCATCCCCTTCCTGGCCAGTTCTTAGCAGGAAAGGCCCTACAAACAGGAATTTTACAACCAGTCCCTTTCTTCTCTATTAAATCTTCAGTCAACTGCAAGATGCCCTGCCAATAAAAGGATCTACTGCTTATTAAGAGCTAACACAAGAAACAATGAGATCAGAGAGGCGCACGGAGGAGGTTTTCTAGGCAGCTGACCATGGGGGGTGAGTGGCAAAGCTGCTGTCTCCCCTTCCTCTCCCACCAACCCAAATCCCTGCCCCACACAGGAGGCAGCATCCAGTCCAAACAGTTCCCCATATGCCATCGCTGCTGCTGCTGAAAAAGGGAAATATTCTGACACCTGACCCCACAAGGTCCTCTTTGATGGACGCACAATGGGAAGGACATCCAGATGAAATCACTATGAGATAGAAACAGAACAGCTGCCAACCCACCCGTCTCTTCCTTCTCCAGATGTCAAATGCAGAGAAGCGCAGGAAGGTCCTGTTGCCTCCAACAGGGAGGAAGGGTGCCTTCTTTTCTCATGGGTGTGTGACAAGGCAGTGCCTTGGGGTACAGCTGTGGGGATGTGGGGGACAGCTCTTGGGATGAAAACTGCCAAAATGGGTTTGTTGATACGAATCAACATCGTCCCCGGCAGGTTTTGGACTCCCTTTGGAGGTATGGCTATCACGATGCGCACCCCACCCTTTGCAATTCATCACGACACCTCTGCTGAGATTAGTATCAATCTTTCGCCTGCCCGGAAAAGCCACCCATAAAAATAAAGGAGAGGAATGAGGCAGACACCAATAACAGATTTTCCTAGGAAACTGGAAGGGGAGAGTGGGTTGCAGAAGTATCGATGGGGAAAACAGGGCAAAACAGGCAAATGTTTAGACTCTAAAAGAGAGATGGCCATGAATCCCCGTTTTGGTGGTTTGTGTTGGCTTGGGTTTTGTCCGAACAGGCGTTCAGCACTTCGCAGCCCCATCTCCCCTGAGGGAGACCCACTCAGAGGCAGTGCCCTTGTCTCTCCTTTGGGCACTCTGAGTGGGCGCCCGCTGGATGAGGCAGGGCTGGGAAGCGCCAAACCCTTGTTCGAATGAGAAACGGCAATAGGGCCAGTCCATACTGTCACCTTTAGAAGTCTCCTGCTCCATGCTCTGAGTGAGCCCCAAGGTGCCGACCACAATGTCTTACCTTGATGTCCCCAGTGGGCAGAACACACCCGAGAATAGGGTGAGAATCTGGATGCCAAGGCTGTTAAGGACAGGACCTTTTGGAGGTCATTGACTCTCAGGGTCATCATAACTTGGAAGGGGTTTGACCGTGCATAGCCACTTGAGCCCATATAGCCCACAAGGAGAAGCCTGAACTACAAGGATGAGCCCATGCCCAGACCAGCGGGTGGATTAGGAGAACTGTAGACCCCAAAAGTAGCTTTTCTAGGCTCTGCTATGGGGGATAAACTGGGATAACCCGGAGCTCCTTATGGGAAGGCAAAAGGCAAACATGACAAAACAAACAAAGAGCATGTGTGTCTCAGCGTAGACCATTTGCCTCATCCTGGAAATGAAAACACCAAACAAACAAAGCCGAACCAGCATGACCACAACTCCTACCGAGAGAACAACAACACAAAGACGGCTGAAGAGAACTGAAAGTCCAGAGGGAGATGCAGGATGCTGTCCCAGGACATGCCTGACTGCTCTCGTCCGCTCGCCCTGGGCTCGGCAAGACATGCGTGCACAGATTCTGCTTAAGGAAAAAGGCTTCACATCCTCTGTAGAGCCAAGAACATGCTGATCCCCTGCCCGGCTCGTGTCCTTGCTCCCAGCCCTATCAGGTTGACTCCCAGCAGCTGGCTTGCAAAACCAGCTCCAGCACAATAATAAATGTTGCTGCTTGTCCTGGCTGAACAGCAGGCTTTCCCAAACTCAGAAGGTGTCTCTCCGCCACTCAAATTCCCTTGCCTGCCTAGAAAAGCCACCCATGGGGGGGGGAGAAGCACCACCTGGGCTCCCCAATAACCACAGCACCTCCTTACTCACCCATCGGATACCCTGGATCCTGGGAGCACTGCTGCCCACCTGCCCCTCCAGCTGGATCTGGTAGCTGCAGCTGCGGAACAGGTGCATCTTCTTCCAAATCACCTCCAGCAGGCGCCTGTCAGGGACCGGGTCCTGGAGGCCCCCGGAGAACTGGGGCAAGCTGGAAGGGTCCCCAAGCAGGAGCTCCACATGCCACCTTCCTTGCCCACCTCGGCCCACCTGGGGGAGTGAGAAAAAGAAAGCGGTGGGATACAAAGGCAGCTACAGCTCCTTCTCTGATCCTGCCTTCTATCAGCACTATGAGAAGTTCATGCTTACAATTGCAATCCTACAGAATTATACAGTACAATACATAATACTACTGAACAATTAATATAGTCATAGCAATATTGGTACAGTAATGGGGATTATAATATTTCTGCACACAGAATGCTTAACGTTTATAGCCATTTAAGATGGTTGAAAGCACTTTGCCTACGCTCACCCCACACTCCTTAAGAGCAATCCTGAAAGGCACTTCAAAAGCATTTGCTCCTGGGTGGAAGGTGAACTGAAGGAAACCGTAGCTTGCCTATATTCCACTTTATCGCTGCTTTTTCATCATGCCTTCCCACCCACCACAGATTGGGTTGTTGTTTTTTTTTTGTAACATCAAGCCTGGAGAAATGCTCTGGGATCTTGAGAACCGGGGGCCATTCTTATGCCTTTTGGGTTGGCTTGAGGAAGAGGTGGCCATTAAATGGGATCAGGGGTCTTGCCGGAGGCCCCCCGGCCTTGGGATGTCAGAGGTGAGATCTGAAGCGGGGGAATTCCGGAGTCCCGGCTCGCTGTCGCGCTCGCTCCGGGGCGCTCGCCTTTCACAGAATCGCACTGGTAGGTCCCATAGGTTGCGTTGGGGAGCCCACGGACCTCTGGTCGCTCCTGCCCCCATTCCCTGAGGGTTCCGTCCAGTTCACTCCTTTGCTCCAGCTCGGCGCCCATCCTGGGCAGCCTCCTGCGCCTACAGCGGAGGCGGTGTGTGGAAAAGCCGGTGGCGCCCCATGGATCCGATCGCTAAATATAGGCAGAAAAGTCAGGTCGGAACCCACCCACTCACCTTCATGTCCCGTTCCTGCGCCCCATGGAGAGAAAACTGCAGAGGGAGGCGAGGAGGAGGGAGCAGCAAACCTTCTGTGCAGCCTTGGCTGGGAAGCGGTCGGGGGAGAAAGGGGGGGCTTCGAGGCTCTCAGGACACGAGGTGGGCGGGACCCTCCGGCAGGGAAGGCACCCAAGCGAGCCCCGCAGGTCCCATGTGCTGGATCGCGTTAAGAGTCGGTGCGCGCCCGAGGCGACAGCATGGGGCGG